CAAAATTCAAAGACCCAATCCAAAAATGCACATCTGAGATGAACACACACTTCTCAGATGAAGAAATACTAATGTAGAATAAATATATTTAAAAATGTTCAACATCTTTAGTCATTTGAGGAATGCAAATTAAAACAACGCTGAGATTTCATCTCACCCCAGAAAGTATGGTTGTTATTAAAAAATCAACCAATGACAAATGCTAGAGAGGCCATGGGGAAAAAGGAACCCTACTCCACTGCTGGTGGGATTGTAGTTTGGTGAAACCACTCTGGAAATCAGTGTGGAGATTCCTCACAAAACTAGAATTAGAAGTCCCACCTAACCCAGCTATTCCCCTTCTGTGTATTTTCCCAGAAGTTTTAAAAACATCATACCATAACAATATATGTGCACCCATGTTTATTGCAGCACAATTTGTCATAGATAAATCTCAGAAACAACCCAAATGAGGAATGATAAAAACTGAGGAATGGATAAAAGAGCTGTGCTATTTTTATACAATGGAACATTACTCAGCTATAGAAAAGATGAACTCGAGGCTCTTATAGGTAAATGAATGCAACTAGAGACCATACTCATAAGTGAAATAAATCAGATCCACATGTGTAAACATCATATTGTTTCCCTAGTGTAAGATAATGAAAGAGTAAATAAAACCCAAAATGTACAATAGATAATAATGAAAGGGAAAGAAACTGCTCAAAGGAAGGAACAACTGGAATGAGGGAAAGAAGAAAAAGAAAGAAAGAACTAAGGCTATATATATATATGATAGCTGGCATAACTGTACTGTTGATGTCTAGTGGTTTATTGAAAGGAACAGTTAATGCTTACATTTTTTATATATTCTGACCAATTTTGCATGCTTATATATGATAATCTGAGCAACTGATATGAAGACAACAATATGCAATATAACAACCATTGGTGAATTCCTACTATCTTGTCTAGTGAAACTCTGTATTGTATCTAATGTTTTTCTAATTATTATTTTCTTATTCTCTTTAATGGTTTGATCAATCTTCCATACTTACATCTGGTAATCTGAGCAACCTCTTTGAAGATAACAATATGTAATATAACAACTACAGTTAATTTTTATCATTTGGTTTGAAACCCAGTATCATTTCTAATGTTCTTGCTTTATTTTGCTTGTGTTTGGCTGTTATTATTTTTTAACTATTCTCTTTAAAATAAAAAAATTCATATGTTGAAATTCAAACAATAATATTAAGAGATAAGGCCTTTAGAAGTTATGAGGGCTCCATCCTCATCAACTGGATTAATGACTTTTAGCAGAGGGAGTGGTAGGAAAACAGAAGTAGCACGAATAAACAACCTAATGCTGCACCTCAAGCTTCTAGAAAAAGAAGAGCAAGACAAGGCCAAAGTCCAAAGAAGGCAGGAAATTATAAAGATCAGAGCAGAAATTAATGCAATGGAAACTAAAAAAATACAAAGAATTAATGAATCTAAGAGATGGTTCTTTGAAAGCATAGATAAAATTGATAAACTCCTAGCCAACCTTATAAAAAAAAGCAAGGAAAAAACTCAAATTCATGCAATATGGAGTGAAAAGGGTTAAATCACTAAAGATCCTATAGAAATTTAGAAGATCATCAATATCTACTTTGAAAATCTTTACTCTCATAAGATGGGAAACAGAAGAAATGGACACATTCCTAGATATATATGAATTACCAAAACTGAATCAAGAAGATATAAAAATCCTGAATAACCCAATATCAATCAATGAAATTGAAAACATAATTAAAAACTTACTAACAAAGAAAAGCCCAGGTCCTGATGAAGGCACAGCTGAATTCTACAAGATATTTAGAGAAGATTTAACGTTAATACTTCTCAAACTCTTTAACGAAATTGAAAGGGAAGCAATTCTCCCTAACTCATTCCTTGAGGCAAATATTATCCTGATACCAAAACCACAGAAAGACACAACCAAAAAAGAGAACTACAGGCCAATCTCCCTAATGAACATAGATGCAGAAAATGACCCTACTCCCAAAACTGTTGTACAGATTCAATGAAATCCTGATCAAAATATCATTAGTATACCTCACAGATCTAGAGAAAACATTCCTAAAATTCATTTGAAACCAGAAGAGACCTAAAACAGCAAACGCAATCTTGGGAAACAAAGGCAAGGCAGGGAGTATCACAATCCCTGACTTGAAATTATGCTACAAAGTCACTGTGATAAAATCAGCATGATACTGGCAAAAAAAAAAACCAAACCCAAAAAAAAAAAAAACACACCTGAGGATCAGTGGACCAGATTAGAAGATGCAGATATAGCTACAAACACACTCAGCCACCTTATCTTTGATGAAGGGATCAAACATCTTCACTGAAGAAAGATAGCCTCTTTAGTGAATGGTGCTAGAAAAACTGGCTCTCCATATGCCGAAGACTAAAACTACACCCATGTCTATCACCATGCACTAAACTAAGCTCAAAATGGATCAAAGACCTAAATGTTGAAACAGAAACACTAAATCTACTGTAAGAGAAAGAAAGTAGAAATCTTGAAGATATAGGGGTAGGCAGAGAGTTCATGAACAAAAACCAAACTGCATGGTAAATACTTCAAAGAATCAACAACTGGGATCTCATCTTACTGAAAAGTTTTTGCACATCAAAAGAAAACATCAGCAGAGTAAAAAGAATATCCACAAATAGGGAAAAAGTTTTAGTCAACTGACTCTCAGACAAAGGACTTCTATCTAGAACAAATAAAGAATTTTAAAAAATCAGGCCCCCAAAATTCAAAGATCCAATCAAAAATAGACATCTGAGATGAATACACATTTCTCATATGAAGAAATCCACATGTCAAAGAAATATATGAAAAAATGTTCAACAGCATTGGTCATTCAAGAAATGTAAATTAAAATAACACTGAGATTCTATCTCACCCCAGAAAGTATGGCTATCATCAAGAAATTAACCAAATACTGATGACACTGTGGGGAAAAAGGAACCCTTTCCACTGCTGGTGGAAACGCAGACTGGTACAACCACTGTGGAAATCCATGTGGAGATTCCTCAGAAAACTAGGATTAGAGAATCTGTTCAACCCAGCTATTCCCCTTCTGGGTATTTTTCTAGAAGAATTGAAAACGTCATACCAGAGCAATATATGTGCACCCATGTTTATAGCAGCACAATTTGTCATAGCTAAATCTTGGAAACAACCCAAATGCCCATCAACTGAGGAATGGATAAAAAGCTGTGGTATTTTTATACAATGGAGCATTACTCAGCTATAGAAAAGATAAACTTGAGGCTCTTATAGGTAAATGAATGCAACTAGAGACTATACTCATAAGTGAAATAAATCGAATCCACATGTATAAACATCATATTGTCTCCGTAGTGTAAGAAACTGAAAGAGTAAATAAAATCCAAAAGGTACAATAAATACTGTGAAAGAAAGAAACTGCTCCAAAGGTAAGAACAACTGGGGGAAAGGAGAAAAGAAAGAAAGAAGGAAGGAAAAATGTACATATGTATACACAACATGGTAAGATAATTGTACTACTAATTTCTATTGGTTTATTGAAAGTAACAGTTAATGCCTAGTTGTTTCATAAATTTTGCATACCTATGTCTGGTAATCTGAACAACTACTTTGAAGGTAACCATATGCAGTGTAACAACCATTGCTGATTTTCTGTCATCTTGTTTTGAAATTCTGTATCCTTTTTTTTCTTATTTTCATTCTCTTTAAAATAAAAGTAAATCAATCAATCAATAAATAAGGGAGTGCCAGTCCCTTCGCCGCTGTCTGTTCCGCACGGGAGGGCATAGTGTCTGTCCCCAGCAGAGGCGATGCAGTGAGGCCTCATGTTAGGAACAGACTGACTCTTTGAGCGTCTCGGACTTCCCTTCCCCAGAACCATTAGAAATAAGTTGTTGTTAAATACTGGGAGGGGAGCAGCACAAGCGGACTAAGGCAAGGCTTAACTTGATTCAGGTGGAACATTTCTGATAAACACGCCTTATAGGCGATGCTGTGTATTTCATTTGCGACTCTTCAGGAAATTAAGGTGTTAAATGTGTCTACTTGGTTAAAGTGCTGACTACCAGATTCTTCTATTGTAAGGACATATTTTTCTCTTTTTTAAAAATAATAAGTAATTGGTAGGGTGCTGTTTATTCATTGCTTAAATATTTTGTTTCTAGCAGATTTCACTTAATAGTTTTTTCAGTCATTGATAATGATTGCCTGCATTCATTACTGCGATGTGAAGAGTAAAAATCATCCTATTTTTAGTCTTGTTATGTTTCCTAATTTTGCTGCTGGCCATTTTCCCTCATTTACTGGGGATGCAGTAGGACCATTGGTTCGTAAAACTTCAGCCTCTGTTGATGAGACCCACCCCTTCATGATTTTCTGACAAGTTTGCTCTGTATAACTCTTGGGAGTATAAGGTACCCTTGATATAGTAGTCACTGTATGTTCATATTAAAATTATAACATCTTTCTGAAAGATAGCAGGAAGGTGTTTTGAGGAGAAGGCCCTTGTTTGTTCACACAGAGTCATGTTTAGGCTTGTGGCTGGGATATATACACCTTCCTCCCTGGGTGTTCACCTCAGAACTTTGGAAACCAGCATCTGGAAGCCACTCCAGCGTCTGGCCCATCCTCCAGGAGTCCCCAAAATTCTGTCCCACCAGACACATCCTCCCTTCTTAGCTACCTGTAGTCCTTTGCCATCTGTTGGATTGAGGCAACACTGTAAATAATTTAGGGCCCTCTGGGGTGGAGAGGAAGTAGAAGGCAGCTGTCATTCCCTGGCACTAAGATCTTAACGTTCCACACTCACCGTGTACCAGGGTGTCGTCTCTTCTGTCCCATGCAGAGTAAGCACAATCCACCTTAATTTCTTTATCTCAACATATTTCTAGCAGACAATGCTCCCCATCTGGCAGTGTATTTATCAGCAACCAAGAGAAATTGCAAGATGCCTTACTCAAAAGCCCTCCATACTGAGCAATTCTTCTTGGTGAAAACACTGTGCATCTCGAGGAGCCGCGCAGTAACCTCTTCTGGCCTCATGAGACCTCTGCAGGGCCACTATATCTGGCTCACCGAGAGCAACTGTCTGCCTGGAAGGTGTGGTCCGCCTCCCCTCGGTGCTCAGCTGGAGCCTATCACAGTGATGGAAATTCTTCAGTTCTTCCTCTGCCCTCTTTTCCGGGGAACCTGGGGCAATTACAGCCTTCACTTGACAAGATGGTTTTGACACTGCGTGGCTGAAGGCGTGGCCCCAGGAGGGTTCTGTTTTCGGAACAGGGTGACAGTTACCCGCTCCTACCTTCCCTGGCTACCACTTTTGTTGTTAAAACTTGCTTAGGACTTTTGGGGATGGTTATTTCGTCTTGTATCATCATGACAATTTTCTTCTGTCACTATGGGTGCTGTCACATATAACTAAGCTCTGCACTCTAAAATAAAGACAGAAGTGGTGATTACATTACTATTGGCTGAATGCCACCACCTCTATCCCTGTGAAGTTATGAGAAGCTCCTTGTGTTGAATTTTATTTTAATTTGTTTTTAACAAGAATTCATCCATGAAGCATTTCAGTCTAGAAAACAGGTTTGAACCACCTTGCCTGTTGAAATCAAGGGCTTTCAACATTGTCATTATCTTTCCGGTGGGGTCATTCATGCCTGTAATCCCTGAACCTGGGAGGATGAGGCAGGAGGATCACCATGGGTTCAAGGCCAGTCTGAAATACACAGTGAGACCATGACTCAAAATAAATGGTACCCTTAACATCTTTTATTGGAGGATTCTTTGTTGAGGACTTGGAGTCCTGTGGTCCTATGTATGGTAGAATATTTAACAGCATCCCTGCCTCTGCCCACCTAATGCCAGAAGTTCATCTGCCCCCAAGCTGTAACAACCCCAGATATCTGTGGACATTACCAAATGCCCAGGGGTGGGGCAAACTGCCCCTTGTTGAGAAAATGCTCAAATAAAATATTGATGTTGATTGTATTCAATTTGTAGTATATGTTTCATTGTTTCAGTCTTTAAATCCTTACAATACCTCTGCCTCAGAAAAAAGTAAATGGAAATAAAATTCTGAAATTACTTTTAAAGCATTATCCAAAATGATTACTAATGAGTTTAACTAACAAATGGGACATAGAGAAGGACATGCTCTTTGTCAGTATAAAAGACTGAAGAATGCAAATTTATTCACACCAAGTGACTTTAAAATGCTAGAGACAAACTGAGGAGAAAGAAGTGTGTGCCATTATGCCACGTTCTGCTCTGCTACGGTTTAGAGCTAGTATCCCCAAAGTCTCACGTGCACAGAGGTGGGGCTTTCAGATCATGAGGGCTCTAACCTCATCAGTGTATTGATCCAGTAATGAGATCATAATTTGATGGACTTGTTGGAAGGTGATGCAAACAGGAGGGGAACCTACCTGAAGAGAGTGGCTCACGAGGGCGTGACCTTGGGAATGTGTCTGGCCCCACCCCCTCCTGTGGCTCCTTCCCTTTCTGCATCCTGGATGCCATGAGGTGATAAACTGCCCTCCATCAGGCCCTTCTGCCATGACATTTCTGCCTCTGAGCCAGCTGATCACTGACTGAAACCTCTGAAGCCAACATGAATCTGTCCTTTAAGTTGTTGTTCTGATTTTATTCTATTTGGACACAGCAGTGAAAATCTGGCTAACACATGCTCCTTCTGTTGCTTTGCTTTTGAGAGGAAATATTTTGCAAGCTTTAGACAATGCTACTACCACTAAGACTAGTTTATTTCAAAGTCCCCTCAAAACTGTTTCTCCAAGGGCCCAAGATACTTACACAGAGATTGAGGTTGGCAAGATTTCCCAAGAAACCTCAACAGCTTCTCATCTCACTGAGGACATTGACAGACCTCGGTAAGACAGTGCAGCCAAGGGCTTGCAGGGGTAGGACGAGGAAAGGTCTCCTAACTCAGTGGCTCTTTCTGCCACAGCACCACCTGCTTCACAAATCCAGTGAGGGGCAATAAAGGCCTAAGAATTTTTAAGACAGGTGGACTTCGCGCCAAAAAACGTAATGAAAGAAAGGAAATGCTACCGAGTTTGTTACTTTGGAGTTTGGCTTAGGCTCATACCGTCCCATTCTTCTAACACCGTTTTATCTGTGTATGAATCTGCTGTCAAAGTTATTGTGTGCCTAGAACAGTGACCAGGGCACAGCATTCAGAAAACATTTGACATAAATGCTGGTTACTAGGGCAGATGCCTACTAGTGGAAGAGGAGGAGGGAGAGGAGGGGCAGGAAAAAGAGAGGGGGAGGGGGTGAGCTGAGGGAAGGGGTGAATCTGCAATGCCAAAAAGGATATCCACAGAGCCTAGTTCTCTTTTTCTCTCACTCTGACAATCAACACAGGTTTAGGTGTCAGATATTTCTCTTCTTGTATTCTCGATGTAAGGAAGTTTTGTAACTCTGCCCAGATCCTGGATAGTCTAACCTAAAACCCTTAGGGATTCTGGAACTACTTCTTAATCTTTTCATTTTAGAGATGATCTAGAGATTTTAGAGATGTCTTAGATAATCTGTAACACCAGTGGGTATTAAAGACTTATAACATTTCCCATTAAAACACCATTAGCATACCTCACAGGTCTAGAGAAAACATACCTTAAATTCATCTGGAACCAGAAGAGACCCAGAATAGCAAAAGCAATTCTGGGCAACAAAGACAAGTCAGGTGGAATCACAATCCCTGACCTGAAATTATACTACAAAGCTACTGTAATAAAATCAACATGGTACTGGCTAAAAAACAGACCAGGAACAGACTGTCAATGGAACAGACTGGAAGACATAGCCACAACCATAAACACACTCAGCCACCTAATCTTTGACAAAGGGACCAAACAAAGTCACTAGAAGAACAATAGCATCTTTAATAATTTTTGACTCAAGTCAAAATGGATCACAGATCTCAATATTAAAACAGAAACACTAAATCTATTGGAAGAGAAAGTAGGTAAATCTTGAAGACATGGGGTAGGCAGACAGTTTATGAACAAAAACCAAACCACACGTGAAATACTTCAAAGAATCAACAACTGGGATCTCATCCTATTGAAAAGCTTCTGCACATCTAAAGAAATCACCAGCAGAGTAAAAAGAAAACCCACAAATTGGGAAAAAATTTTAGCTGACTGTCCCTTGGACAAAGGTCTTCTATATAAAGCATATAAAGAATTAAAAAACATCAGCCCCCCAAAATTCAAAGACCCAATACAAAAATGGGCAGCTGAGATGAATACACACTTCTCATAAAGAAATACAAATGGCAAAAAAATACATGAGAAAATGTTCAACATCATTAGTCATTCGTGAAATGAAAATTAAAACAATATTGAGATTTAATCTCACCCCAGTAAGAATGGCTATCATTAAGAAATCAACCAATAACAAATACTGGCGAGGCTGTGGAGAAATAGGAACTCTTCTCCACTGCTGGTGGGAATGCAGACTCGTGAAACCACCATGGAAATCATTTTGGAGATTCCTCAGCAAACGAGGTCTAGAGGTCCCATTCAACCTAGCTATTCCCCTTCTGGGTATTTTCCCAGAAGATCTGAAAACATCATATCACAGTGATATATGTGCATCCATGTTCATAGTAGTGCAATTTGTAATTGCTAAACTGTGGAAGCAACCCAAATGTCCATCCACTGAGGAATGGATAAAATTGTGGTACTTTTATATAATGGAATATTATCCAGCTAAAAGAAAGATAAACTTGAGGTTTTTACAGGTAAATGGTCACAACTAGAGACCATACTCATAAATGAAATAAACCAGACCTCCATGTGTAAGCAACATATTGTCTCACTAGTGTAAAAACCTGAAAGAGTGAATAAAAATCAGGAGGTATGACAGACATTGTGAAACAAAAGGAAAATGCTCAAAAGTAAAGAGTAACTGGGATGAGAGAAAAGAGAAAAGAAAGAAGGGGAAATTATGTATGTATGTATATACAGGACAGCTAACATAGTTGCACTACTGACTTCTATCACTTTACTGAAAGGAACAGTTCATGATTACTTGTTTGATCAATCCTGCATGTCTTTATTTGTTTTCCTGAGAAACCACTTTGAAGATACCAATATGTAATACAGCAACCATTGTTAATTTCCTACCACTTTGCCTGTAATTCAGTATTGCTTGTATTGTTCTTATGCTATTTTGTAAATGGAAGTCTGTTTGTTAATATGTTTTCCTTCTTTAATTTTTAAAATTAATTTTAAAAAAAGACATAACAGGGCTCCTCAAATTTTAATGACTAAAGGAGTCACCTGAGGGTATTGCTAAAATCCTATCTCTGATTTAGTAAGTCTGGAGCCAGGCCTGAGAGCCTGAATTTCCAACAACTTCCCAAGAGATGCTGATGCTGACACTCCACAGAGGTAGAATGCAGACTTAGTTCAGAACCAATTCTGGTTCTGTGTGATACAATGCAATAAAGTAAATGCCTGCTTCCTCCTTTCTTTTCTTCCTTCCTTCACGATCAGTGCTAGGATGATAGAGGCCATTACAAAGCAGCTCTGAGAAGGATTTAGAATTAATCAATTGGCCCTCTATATTTACTCATGAGTCTGTCCCAGGCCTACGAGAATTGCTCAAAGCGTGTTGGCTGGCATGCAGTGAGTGCAATTCCCCACATCAATGGTCACAGGAGAGCCCTATATTGGTTCTGGACATTGTGGCACCTCGGAGGGCAGATAAAGCTGCAGCTGAGGACACCTGGCTCTCACTCCAGTTCTTAAGATAAGACTGCATGAACCTGCACCATTTGGTTCCTGCTGTAAATATCAGCCTTAGAGATAGAGCAGTTCTCTTAGTTGGCAAAATTTACTGCTTAGAGAAGTCTTTGTTCTAGACTTCCCAAGGTCCTGCTCAGTTTCCACCCTCAGCTATCCCTTTCCTTTGTTTGAAAATGCAGACTTAGGTTTTCTAGCCCACACTTCCTAACCTTTCCAAATTCCTCCTCCATACTAGTATTAACTTATTTTACATGGTCAGTTATAATCACAGCAACAGCCTCACCTCCAGGACTGATTTTCTGAATTAGTCACCTTCCCATTACGAGGAAAAAATAACTTCTACCCATTCTTTAAATGAGAAGAGGTTTATTTGATTTTAGAGGCATAGCACAGCAAAAGAGCATAGTGCAGGACTTCCAGAGAAGCCCTTGTCTTAGCTCCCAGAGAGTTTCAACCTTCCTGGACTCTACAAACCATAATGGCATT